GATTGTTATCTTTTTTTTTTTTTTGCACATTCTTCTTCTTTCATGGTTGATTGATAAATAAAGGCATTGTGATGTAATATTTTGATAATCATAGGTGATTTATAACACTGAAAAACGTTAATTTGTAGGAGTGTGCATTGCTGACTGATGGTAGATTTTCTGGTGGATCACATGGATTTGTTGTCGGTCATATATGCCCTGAAGCGCAGGTATTTCATTTTTGTCACACCCAACATGTAAAATACAATTTTTAAAAAAATTGCAAAAAAATTTCTTGGTGGATTGTTTGATGAACATTTGAAAAGTGATACTTCCCATAGAAAAAAATGCTTTATGTGAAGACTTGTATTACAAAATGAAACTTATGTTTATAAGTCATGTAAAATCCTCTCAATGCAAGCCTATACAAAGTGTTTTTTATGCAGTAGCAAAAGAAGTGGCATTTGCATTCACAACACTCGTAACATGGATATTTACAAATTTATCACCCTCTTTCACCCATTCTGAAAATTTATGCCAAAATATCTGATCATGGAAAGCAGTTGTTTATAATACACACAAACCAAACAGCTAAACAATTTATCTAGAACAGGGAATATCTGATCATGGAAAGCATAAATGTATTGGTTTGGCAATTCAAAAAATCACATTGGCAGCAGTTTTGTAAATAAAAATATTTTGAGTGATGAGTATGTAATTATCCCCGTGCATAAAGCTACTTTGAGACTAAGGTTCCTTTTGGGGCTAAGGTTCCTTTTGGGGCAGCTTATCTGCTGCGGCGGCGTTTTGAAAACACCGTCTTAAAACACCGCCTTAACCATTTGAAAACTGTGTTTGAGCAGTTTATCCAAATACACAGATGTTTTTTTTACACTAAACACAGAACGCGGGTCGCACCCCGCGGTCCGTGTTTCCAGATAAGCGGCTTAACTGGATAAGCACAAGCTACGCATATAAACTCTCGGATTATTTTGACACTTTACTCGATATATCAGTTAGTAAAAATGTAATAATTCATATTATGTGGCATGAACAAAACCATTTTGATCCGCCTCTTGTCAGGATGGAGGACCGATTGGGCTGATCCAAAATGGTGATGTAATTACAATTGACATTAACAAAAGAAGAATAGATGTTCAGCTTTCTGATGAGCAGCTTACTGAGAGAAGCAGAAAATGGAGCCCCCCTCCTTACAAAGCAACACGAGGAGTTCTTTACAAGGTAACAATAATTTTCTGCACTGCCTCTGTAACTTCTTTTTTATCTGAAACTGCAATTTTTTAATTTTATTTTTATTTTTATTTTTTGCAGTATATTAAAAGTGTTCAATCAGCTTCTAGAGGATGTGTGACAGATGAATAGGTGATGTATTTATGTAATTTATTTATTTACTTTTGAGCTAATTTTCCTGAGTGTTTTTGGGGACTGATTTTTTGTCAGGACGTTTAGTTTGTGTTATTTATATGCAGAGACTTTTTTTCAGTCCCCAAGTTTTCACCAGGGAGTTAATAAGTTATTTGTAATTTTGTTATTGTTGAAGTAGGTTTTTGAAAGAAATTGTATTGAATTGAGAATTTTTTTGTTAGAACTCTGAAGCATTAAATGTTTGTTTTAAGTTACTAGTTGCAGTGTATGAATGAGTTCTGGTGGATTCCCATCCTTCTATTTTATTGCAAGACAAATGGTCGAAGTCAACATATTTGGATTCTTCACATTATTTTCAATCAATATGCTACATATTCAAATTCATTTGTTTAGGAATATTTACATACATACCACTCAATTCATATGTATTTACATCTCTAACCAAATTTTAATTTTACATACGTGCCACCTTTCCTTTGCACAAAAATGTGTTTCACTTTTTTAAAAGTAAATAATGGTGGTATTTTTGATGTTATGTGAAAGATTTGGGTGCTATTAATATAAAAAAATTAAGTTTGTGCTAGATATGTAAATACATAAGAATTGGGTTTGGATGGTTTGTATTTTGAGTGCCCCAAATAAAAATTATAATGTGTCAAATAAGGGACTTTGAAAGGTATAGAGTGACTCCTTTTCTTTGCACAAAAAATACAGTTTTTGCAGTGTTTTTAGGTAGACGGAATACTCATATACAAGTAATGCAACATGGTAGTTTGCATGGAAGTATATAACCTGCAGAAAAAACTGCATTGTATGATCTGCGAAACAAAAAAAATTGAAAAGCTTAATGCATACCTCCTAATTCTTATGAATTTAAATATCTAATGTCTAAACTTTAGTTTATTACATTTATGCTCCCCAAATCATTCACATCACACAAAACATACCAACATGTTAACTTTTAAAAGGTGACTTGCTAATATCTAGCAATTCGAATTAAAGTTACTAATATAGTGTTAATTAAATCATGATCCAAAACAATTTGGTGGCATTTTTATAAGAATATTTTTGGCCGAAAGACAATACGTGATTAATTTAGCAATTCAAATTAATATCACTAATATATCTTAGTATGGTAAGAGTCAATGACATGTGGGAGAAGTTTCCTTGAATGTATTCTATTCTTGATTTGAATGGCCAAGAGAAAGTGAAAGAGTAGGGGGTGAGAATAAGAAATTAATTAGGAAGAGTTATCTAATTCCTTTAAAATTCTTCTTCATTGGGTCCCCTCCTCTTAGAAGATTTGGCTTGAACTTAGCCTTAACTTTCTCCTTCTTTGCTTGAATTATGGAATTATGGAGTTAATTTTGACATATCCAAAGCCTCCATTGAATGGTAGCGAAATGTCCTACTTGAATGGATAGAACAACAAAGTTAATTATGACTCATTTTAGTACAAATATAACACTATTTTCCACCCTCCTTGCAATTTGAGATGATATTCATGTCAATACTTCTTTTTTTTTTACTTAATTAATACAATTGAACCACATGTTCCTGCAGACGTCGATCGTCACTCACCAGCTATTGTCGACCACCTACAGCCTCACCTTGCTCGTTGCAACGGAACCCTTTGTAGAATTACAACATATACTGTGAAATCCCGACGTACGTTGCGGAATAATGAAGCACCTTGCAAAAGAATGACGTGTACCGAATATGATGCAACAATACACCCCAAATACGGTGCAACGAAGAAGACTATATACCAACGCACTTCGAATACACTACAACAACGAGCCCCGAATATGATGGAACGATGAGCCCCAAATACGATGTAATGATGTGTCTCAAATACAGTGCAACGATGCACCCCTAAGATTGTGTAATGACGTGCCCCAAAGTTATCTTAACAACACACTCCGCATAGGGTGACTTTCTCAGGACTCCTAAAGTTCTCTCCTCGTAGCTCTTCACTACCACTTATGTGACCAACTATGGGCAACGTAGTCCACAACTCATGTAGTTTCTACCTCCCGCCTAAGTGGCATAACGATGTGGTTATAGCTCACTACTACGATATACATGACAAATCATGACCTACATGGTCCACAACTCTTACAACTCTCTACTACGGCATACGTGTCTAATCAATGCTCTTAAACCAACCATCTACAACCAACATGACCAACTACTACCACGACTTTCAACTATGGCATCCACGACAAGCCGACAATATAGCCATCATCCACCATGTTTATAGCGGGCTATTGCTTCATAGAAACCAAGTAAATCTTTTACGACCTGTTACAACTATTAATGAATTAATGGTGTACATCAACCCTATAATTTCATCTTCTCTAATTCGAAAGAAGAGTAGACCTACGTACTTACAATCACATAGAGTCATTTCAACTGAGCTAGACCCAATGATCATTTATCTTTCAGACTTTTGAAGTAAAAATTTAAGATAGTATATGCATGTATTAGATCTTCATCCAACACTAAGTCACTAAATTATTATTCTATTGTTGTGAATATTAGACAGATAGATATATTAAAAATAACGCGGTATATATGCAAACCATCCCATTTATTTAAATTAATATCAAATATTTTACTGTTGGCTTTTTTTTTTTTTTAAGAGGTGGAAAGAGGGAAAGAAAGTTTTGCATCCATCCCACTCAAAATTTACATATTTATATAATTGAAATTTAAGTTTTACATTTATATACTATTTTAAGATTTACATCAATGCCACTCAAATTACATATTTATATATTTAAAATCTAACTTCTAAAATTTAAACATTTGTGTCATAATCATATCAAAATATATACTCAAGAAAGTATGTTTCACATTAAAAAGATTAATATGAGTAATATTTTTGATGTAATGTTAATAATGTAGATAATATATAAACAAATATAAATTATATGAAATGTCAATAAGTCGCTCTTATTTTATCAAGCATAATGCAGCTTAAATTCAATATCTTTAATTATTTTTAATATTCATTCATTATCTTTCATTTTAAACCTCTTGTTATACTACAAATCATTCAGCATCAATGCCTCCGTCTATACCTGACAATATCTAATTCCTACATTTTCATTTTCATTAAAAAAATACAATAACAATAAATAACCAAATAAAAATGTAATAGATATAGTGACTTGTTTTCATTAAAAATTTTATCTTATCTCGATTAAAAATTCTTTCATAACTCCTAAACTACATTTAACACCATTCAATAGCTTAACATTATATCTTTAAAAATTTCAGCATACCTTCGACACACTTGTTTTCATTAATATCATGGCACTCAATTATATGCTCTTTCGGTATTCATAAAAATCATATCAAAATCCTTTTATTTTATTCTATAATTTTTTTAATTGTCTCAACACGAAAATTACTTTCATTGAATATGTTTTATATGAAATCAAATTGATTCTCTAATATCTCTACATGGTTGATATTTTTAGTCTTTTTTGGCTTTAAAATATAACCTGAGAGCCAGGTACCTAAGCACCACTTATCTGCGCTTAAGCGCCGGTTCATGAAAATTGGTTCGCAAAAGGTAAAAGGTGAAAAATAACCCCGAAAATTGTCATTTTTACTCTCGTCGTCACTTCTTCCTCTCAAGTTTGCGATTTTAAAGTCTAGGGCAAACATTTTCTTGGAGATTTCTTGGTGGATTTGAGCCAAATTTGCTAGATTTGGATTTCTTAAGGTAAGAGCTTCACTTCAATGTAAAAATTTTGGATTTTTACAATGTTTTTTGAGTACATTTGGAAAAATCTAAAAATCACTATTCATGGTGAAAGTTGAAGAAAAAGCTGTAGAAATTGCATAGAAAGTGTAATTTATGCATATAGGAGTTAAGTTTAGTAGATTAGACATGATTTTTGAAGTTATTGTGGAATTTTGTGAAATTTGCAGAATGGCCCCAAGAACAAAGAAGAGTAAGAGAAATACCCACTTTGATTCGAGCGAGTTTGTGAGTTCAAAAGCTAAGGATAGATATAGTGACGCTCTACAGTCACGAAAATTGATTCCTGAGAGGTGTTTTAAAAATCCATGTGGATCCGTGGAAGATTTGATCGTTTGCCGACAATGGGAACGATTCTATTATTTTTCTGCAATGGTTGTGATATCTGTAGTACGGGAGTTTTATGCAAACCTTCGTGAGGCGGAAGGGGATCGAGTCATGGTCAGAGACAAATTGTTACATTTTTCACCGGAGGTAATCAATATGTTCTACCATTTACCGCCTAATACTTTATGTTTTTATGTGAACTATAGGCCGATTGTGACAGAATTGGTGAGATTATTTTGTATTTTACTGTTGGAAGGGGACTTTAAAAAATTACAAATGAGAGGAGAGTCAACTTTTGCACTTCAAAGTTAAGTGAACCATTGAAGGTGTGACACTACTTTATTTCAGCTCGTCTGTTACCGACGAATCACCTTAGTGAAGTTACGAGGGAGACTTCAATGTTCACCGAGCATTAAGGGTATTTATAGGATGAATTATTAAGCAACATAATAATTCTAATTATATAAGTGAATCACATCACTGGAGTGACAAATGATAGTTTACTTTGATGGTTAAGATGGGGTCAATCTGATTAAATCAATCAAAATCTGATGGGAATGACCTTAGCCTTGCACTACATGCATTCTACTTAGATGTTGGATAGATAATAACTTGTAGATGCTTTCTTATAGTTAGGGTTAGGGTGTAATAAAATTTTTATAGGTACACTATAATTTTTGCTTATGTGCTTGTTTTTTTATATTTTTTCTATTGTTTTATATGTTCATTAAGTGCGAGACATGTGCACAAGTATATTAGAGATAGTTTACTTGCAGAGAGGGCCATGTTCAATATGGAAAAGCTTAATAATTAAAAAAACATTAAATTAATGCATTTCTTTCAAACACCCCTTAGCTCTCCTCTTGCCATGTATGGTTCACTGTTTTGTTGCATGCACTAACGTTTTTCTTGCAGGTCGTCTCTTTCTTTTTGAACTTTTATATGTATTTTTAGAGTGCTAAATTGAGTATGTGTTGAAAATAAGGTATGAGCATGAATCCCCATGGAGCTTTATGTACTAGACAGTGAGTT